CTTGTTGCTAACTGACTTACTTCATATGCTAATTTAGCGAAGAATTATGTTGGCATAACCGTATGCTTTAACTGAAATATTATTTTTGATAATGTTATTTCAAGTGATTGCCTGTTTGTTTAATATCCCCGGTGTGGCTGCGCTTTGTATGCATGCTGACAAGGTGCCTACCTGTCTACCACCCTACTACTTACAAATACCCACTACCTCGTTCATACTGGCTCCAGGAGACAGTTGGTCGTTTCTGGATGGGACGGGGATGCATGATCCTTGTGGCCGTGCTAGTCTCGAAGAGTGGTTCCATTCACTTAATGTGGAGCGGACCACGTTCTAGCCTTGTGCACGCATGATTCGCAAATACAGCGTGCGTGTGTTTTCCTGTGATGGAGTGTGGGCGGGCTCCGTTGATGAAACGTGGCTCCCATCCACATGCCTCCGGGTGTTATTGCTTCGGGTTTACACTGGATACGGGGTGTGTGGATGGAACTGTGGGTGGTGCAACGAAAGCCACTCATGGTTCTTCTGCAGACATATGCGTACTGTGGCTGGCCACAGTGACAGACAAATCCGAAACCGGATGCCGCCAACCACAGGACAGCCACAGGACGCGTGCTCCTACACAGAGAGCATGGATGGCTTGCGCTGCACCACCCACAGCTACATCCAACCACCACATATCCAGTGTAACTACGACGGAATAGGACCAGGTTGGAGGTGGATGGGAGCCACGATTCATCAAAAGAGCCTGCCCACACTCCTTCATCATGCAAAACAGCAAAATTCTTATTTACTTTAGAAATGGTGCTTGCCAGACGTACACAAGGCGGTGACTGGGTAGTGGCCCGCTCCACACTGGATGGAACCACTATTAGTAAGACGGTGCACCCATTTCACCAGCAACATCTCACAGCCCCCTGGTCTCAGTATAGACGGGGTGGAGAGTAGTAGGCATACAGGCTATTCCTCGACGTTCTCACCAAAAGCAGCCACGCCGGGGATATAAAGCAACAGCGAACACCTGAAATGTAAGAAACTGAATACGCAAGCACACATGCAGACTAACTGCAACGATGATGCAGCACACATTCCAAATTAACCGCTTTTTTGGCCTGGGTTAGTAAATCGTCTGGAAGTGAACCCAAGGTATTTACGAACGTTGCGGTGCTACTGATTAAATAATCAGCTGACTCGTTGCCTTTGGATGCTGGAACTGCGTGATCACACCGGTGGTTTATCAGGGCTGTTTGGCTGAGTCATTCGAGGCCGCATGTACTACAGAACCATGCGCTTGATGTCGTTGGGGCGCCTGGCGCTTCCGTTTTGCTTACCTGCCGTGAACCGGCACAAGTTTAACATTCTTTCCACAGGTCCTATTATGAGTCGGTTGGGACTGGCGAAGGCGTTGGCTAGTCGCATTGGTGATATCGAACCCATTGCCTCAGTGAGCAACCTGTGGTGCCACATCTGTGAACGGGTGACTGCTACTACTGAAGCACAATCAGGCGCGCAAGATATAAGCATCCCGAATGGCTAGATGACAGCAGTACCATCATTGGCTCATAAGTATCGGCGAAGAATGCTGAGTTCGCTGCGCGTGTGGATGATCTTGCCAATGCAGAGAAAAAGTCATTTTCGCAAACTTCGACGCCGATTGACTGGAGAGATCCGTCGCATCAAGAATGCGTCGTGGACGGAGAAGGCGAAACAGATAGAATGCTACGCCGAACGCCTAAATCAAAAGGCAATTTGTGACTTCTTAAAGGCGGTGTATGGAAGCACGTTGCAGCCACTGAGGACGCTGCTCAATGTTACTTTATTCGTTTCGTGCACACAGCCTGCAGAAATAATGCGAATCTGGCGAACGCACTTTGATTGTCTCTTGAACAACCGTTCAGATTGACAGGTCTACGTTGCACGGACTGCAACGACTAGGTATCAAGATGTTTCTTGCCGACATTCAGATACTGGATGAGATGCAGAGAGCCATGGCTGAGTGGCATAAGTCGCTGACTCGTAAGAGTAAAATCGTGGGTTGGAATTAGTTGGGTGTGCGCTACTATCGAGTCCCAATAGGACGGAACGGCCGTCTAGCGCTTACCTGAAGGTGTCGTGACTGTCTGCCTGAGTCTACGTGGGACAAATCTTCACCAAAGAGCTCAGTACAACCCCTCCCCCCTCCCACTACCCACTGATTATCGATGCTTTGTGTTCAGAAACAGTTATCGGTCAGCCTTAGGGGTAGGGGTAATAACTTCGCCTCGCTTATTAGTTGTTGGTCTGTTTGTATGCATGTTTGGCCACACCCTGTTCTGAATAATTACTATTGCGAGTTGTTGTTATGGACACTGATGTGGTACCTTGAACTGCTTGCATTTGTCAGTCTTCGTCTTCTTACTGCACTTTTCAAACTTGTAACAGTTTACGTTAAGCAGAAAATCATAAATTTGTTAACGGAGTATATTCAGGCCCCAGTACAGTCACGCTAATGCAACCCAACTATACAAGCCATTTTCTTGGTCATGTGTTCGTTTGCCTCGATCAAAGACAGTGACAGTTTTCCCCTGTGTGCGTGTGGGCTTAGCTATGCAGCTGCACGACTATTGGAAGCGTCTAGGCTGTTGTGATTCCATCAAAACTAGTCTAATTTTATTAGCCTAGTGTGGCATGAATCGACCAAAATGACTGTCGAACGGCAGGAGGACACATCTCTGAGGCAGCGACGGTGCAAGCGAATGTTATTAACGCAGAAAGTGATCTTTACCAAGCTTGCGTTGTTGACGGCAAAACCACCGACGCAGCTGCTGGTTTTGCCGATTTTAACGAGAACACGGTAGGAAACACCACCAATGCACACAGGCAAGAAGGTGCCAATACTCAGCTCAATCGTGGAAGAAACAACAGGGAGAAGTTGACTTCCGTTATCCTGCAGTACGTTGAGAAGACCGTTGGACTGCACTAAACAACACTTTGGTGCAGGTAAAGCAACGACTGAAAACGAACAAGCTCCAGCTTTCCGTATATACGGTTTTTATCGCCCTCAGAAGACTGGATTCCACTCAAGAAGTGCCACTACGAGGTAGACCGCATCAGTAGTGCCACGATGATCGCAATCTAGCAAACCTACGCTCTCGACATTTCGCTACACGCCCTACTCCTACTTGCTAACTTCGGCAGTTTGCTTTGAAAAACGTTCACTTTAAACTGAAACGGGTGTATTGAAAAGCAAGAAAGCAGTATCGTTAGAGACAGTAAGTTGGTCATTGGCTATCCGCCTTTTGCTTTTGTCAAGTTCGGTATCAAACGGAGGACGCGGTTCGCGCAGTCCTACTGTGTTACCATTCCATCGCTCTCTTGAATGACCATACTTAGCGTGTGGTCAGGCGTTTCGCCAACGCTTTTACTTTTGAAGCACTGGGTTTAGTACGTACGAGTTGGGGGACAAGAACTTCAGCTGATAAAATGATTGCTGGTGCTCGTGGAATATTGATCATATGCATTTGGCTCACCTGACAGGCAATATTCGTTGGTCATTCGGCGTTAATTGAACAGCTTTATGGTACCGCACTGACTTATATTAAACTTGAGCAACCATCGTAGTCTAAGTCCTGTCTTCCATCTACCCGTCCACCGGCTGTGCGCAATTGGGCGATGCTCCGAGACAATCATTTGATGACATTACTGGAGATATATGAAAGCTTTATATGTGTCCGGTTGATGAGTGTTGTCCCCCCTTACCGGAATCTCGGTAACGGATACAGTGACTATCTGATCTTTCTTCTGATCTTTCTTGGATTTTCAGAGACAGATGTATATTCACATGGCTTGGATAACACCGATTTGAACAGGATCACCAAGCCGCAGTTGGTGCTATCTTGTGTGCACCATGTGTGCTTCAATCGACTGCAACCTCGATGCTACTAAAGGTGCCCTCTATTCCAAAGCTACTCTATCACTATATGTCGTTACCAGCTCACATCCATTCTTGACTAGATTTTGGTCTGTTGAATACGGAATACTGAAAATAGAGAGCTAATAGACATGTGTCTCTGTTGCCCCGTCGTAATCAGTTCGGGCATGTACCATAGTCACGTCACTGTTTATTGAGTCTCTGCTGCATGTTACAGCTGCGCCGTATGCTATTCTGATGTGATGCCTTTCTCTACGTTGACATTTTATTTTTGCACTTGCTGACATTTTGTTTCCTTTTTCGTAGACTTTTATGCGCGCGAGACCGATGTGTGGGTTTGGATTTCATCCAAACCTCTGGTCACTAGATACTATGTCATTTTGCATAAGAGCGCTTTATTTGTACTTATCATAGGTGAATCTTGAAAAAGCTGGGGTTGGGTTTGTGCACAAGCATTTACTAAACGTCACCATTTTCAAGAGACCTCACTTAAAAAACTCACTGGCCTTAGTTAGCTCTGCTGCTGAGCTACTTGTTTCCCATCTATCCTACGTTTTCTGGTTCACAGTTCGGGGACTACCTGTCAACGTCACTCTCCCACTCCCAACTCGCTCACTCAGGTCATCTGGTTTCCTTTAAGCCATTTGCTCAGAAGTGTGTAATACTTGAATTTTTCCTGGCAATCACCAGATGAGCTATCGTAGCTTCAAAACCTGGTCCTTAAAATTGATAGTGTTTTCGACTATAACTGATTACTTATAACAGCGAAAAGTCGCCGTTTTTTGCAATTTCTGCCTCACTGTATGCTTCTTTTGTTTGTCGACTCGTTTTAAAATCTTCCGCATTTTCGTAATGTGCCATCCTCTTTCTTTGTCGTCCGGCAAACCTTGTGCTTGCCTTCCAGGTCCACTTCGACTTCACCTGTTCAGATGTTCCATTTTTTGCTATGCTTACCGTTTTGGCTTACTTTCATCAGTTTGATTTTTCGATGGCTTCCTCTCGCTGCAAATCACCTTCACGTCGTGTAGCTAATTCCTCTGTTTTGCCTCTGTCGGCTGTCCCTTTTCATAGTGGTGTTTCTTCATGCTTTTAGCGAAGGCTTCAACATACTACTGTATGGCGTTGGCTCGAAGCGCGCTCTCTTGGAGGATTTCAGAAAGCGTCATCTTGGGGTCTCTAATTGCGTTATCGTTCCTGGATACGATCCCTCTGTCACTATCAAACACGTATGTTACTGCCATTTAACCCCGCTATCTTGCTTGTCTCTTCCGTCATCCATTTCTCTCATTGTATTCGTTGGACTGTTTAAGCGTGGGTATGCACATATATTGATCCTACTTATTTAACACAATGAAGCTGCTTAGTTGTCAACTGAATCCGCTTCACTCCGATATCTCTCTGTTACGTATTGTCTGTAACCATTATTTTTAATCTGCGCCCTTTTACAACGCATTGTTACCAGTCCCGCTCATTTTGCTAAAAACCTATTCATTTCGTAGTAGATGCGGAGGTGGATTCAAATAGGATAGAGTGCTATCGCACATGTTTACTGTACCACTTTAATCTTTGCTTCGCTTAGTGCGTTTAACGTTAGCTCTGAGTGCGTGCGGTGCGAAAAATGCGGTGTGGTGCCCTAGTGCGATCTAGCACTTTCCAACACTTATGCTGTCCGACGCACATGAAATCGCTGACGTCGTGTCTAGCCGCTGTAGGATCCGTACATCTTCCAGGATGTGGACCCAAAGATGAGGAGTGCCAATGGCTTAGCACTCTTGAAGAAATGGCCCGCAACCGGAATCAATGGAAGACTTGTGTACATTATTGTATTGATTCACATGTTTAATTCTACAAACATTAAAATGACAAAAAGAGAAAAATCGGCGTGTGAAAAACAAACTAAAAATGTTTTGTTCTGCTTTTTATCAAACTGTTCCATTCTTCCTGCGGCATATTAGTTGAAGTGTGTTGCTCACCTTCAACTAGCATGCCACAATGATTATGACGCTTTGAATCTTGTTTATCTCCTTATCTCCATGGTTTTAGGTTGGCTCTTTGTCTAGCTAATTGACTGTTGAGAATACAATACAATACAATACATTGTGCCTTTATTGTTTTTCGTCAGATCCTCAATGCCATCTGTCATGATTGGCTTCAGCTGCCGGCGCAACGCGGAACCTTGGCGGATCAGTTGCTTTTGATTAGTGAAAAGATGAACCTACCAAGTATGTTGGTTTTTCGGCCAGCTGTTAATCTTCGTTTGCTTCTCGCTCGGGAACGCGTGAATATGGTCACGTTGTTATTTTCACTTACCACAGCTAGTGTGAGTATGGTTGGCCGCATCCGTTTCCGCACTTCTGTCATTGCGAGCGTGGACATTTTTTTTACGCTGCACCATCCCCGAAGCACAACACACACATACCCAGGGTAAATCTAAACGATTTTAATCAGTTGACGTGGGACTAGAAGCCACAATTGATTCGCAACTGCCTCATACTCGATCGCCCGTACGCCATCCTGATATGAGCCAATATTCCAGGCCAATAATCCACACAGATATCATAGACTTAGCATACACACGCTGTGTACGAATGCCGGTTTTTTGCTCGTTTGATTGGGGCAGTATCAACGCCTAGGAAGCGACTGGATGTATACAAAATCTATGCGAACGCTACCATGCAACTATCGTTTGCTTCTTGGTCAATTTTATTAAAACAATTGACCGCAGTGGCCCGGTGATAGGTCAACAGGTTAAGATCTGGAGTTACTAGGTGCTATCGCATCTGCAGTACTATTCGTTACGTTTACCTCATCATGAAGCAGATGCCAATGGACATCCGGTCAAGGCAGTCTGGCTCGCGAGCCAAAGCACAACAAGACGTACAGTAAAATTTGTTTCACGTATACGGTGATGCACCGCAACCTGACATCCCTTTACAATAACCAGATCATTTTGTGGTTCTTATGATCTAATTATCGCCCATCGCTTTTTCTATCCTTGTTTGTCTTCACAACATGTATCTTTGTCATTAGAAATGGACTGAAATTTCATAGCACCGTATTTAAGGTGTTGATTTCGAATTTGTAAATTCATCGTATGCCTTCACAGTGATTGCAGACAATTTTAAAATATCACATTGAGTAAATGTTAGTTGTCAGCGTTCACTTGTTCTAGTGAGAGCCAACAAGGCGAAGAACCGCCACCTCCACGATGGCATTCCCAGACCTGTCATCGGCACGATGATATTCATGCGTGCATCAGTCCTTCGGCATGAGTAATGCAATCGCACATCGACCTCCGTCCTGTCTGTTGCATGTGGATCTGCTGAATATTGCATGTAACATGACGTAGAACAGTTCGGAATGAATCCACACTCACAGCTTGGCGGACCATCAAAAACATTCGGTTACAGACGCCTTTTTTCCACCTGTTTCTCTTGCTCACTTCGCGACACATCATTAACATTGCTACTGTAATTTCCAGCCTAATTGCTAACATCTGCAATTCCACCGGATTTCTGCCCTTTGCAGCTATGTTCCCGAATCATGCACTGTACGCTTATCGCAACATTCCCTTACCAGGCCATGCTGTCCCGATTAAATGTCGTCACTGACAACAAAAATGCTATTGGTCCGTCTCGCCTTCCAGACTGCAGTCCACATGTCTCGCCTTGTGCTTGGCTCTAGACTTTGCAAGTGGGCTCGCAGTCGGCACCAGTGGTGCATCTGCTGTTGTCTCCTAGACGGTCTGCCTGTTTAAAGTGTTTCTGGCTTTTAGTAGGCTGCGGGCTAGAGGCTGATTATGACGCGTAGCAATGAAAACGGCGTCTCTGAATGTTTGTTTAGAGCGCTAAGGTCTAACGTTAGGTCGCCTTTCTCTCGCTTTTATTCTTCACCCTTTAGGTCAAGTGGTTGCACCGTGGCGATGCAGCAATTCATATGACTGATGTATTGTTTATGTTGTTTTATATTCAGCATTTTTCGGGCCACAACGTGGAAGTTGGGAGGCACCAACCGAGAAGAACTTCGACTTGAGGTCCTTCATCCCTCTTGATCATGTCGTCGGTTGGCTCCGTCTCCTCTTCTTCCACCCAGATCCCCGTCGCACAAATAACGCGCGTCGCGGGAGTCGGTGCACAGCTACGCGTAACACGTGGTCCAGACATCCGAGCTTGCTGCGCGAAATAATAGTACTAATCGGCTCACTTCCTCTTCCTACACCATAAACAAGACGCCGAACACACCCATTGCTCACATGGCGTTTCCGCCAGATGTGAGCTGAACCTCGAGGATACCGGTGGTCGCACGTAACTGGCTTCTTCATATTTTCTTCGTTAATAAGTTAGGTAGAGAAGGATTGAACTGACGGCTGCATTGTAGACTGCCCTTCATGGTGAAAGTAATGTCGTGCCTGCACCACAAGTAACGAAGATTGGCAAAAGTACCTGGAGCATTTGCTATACGGTTCGTGATCTAGTCTTTGATCCCACAAGTGCTGAAACAGCTACCCAAGCATTTGCATAATTTGAACAATTTCTAGCTGCCCCCCATTATGAGTTATTGTGAGATGTGTTCTCTGCCACTCTAGGAGGAAACCTGTGTATTTGGAGAGTGCAGATTACAGCCCGAAAAGGCAGACAGCTGGTTCTTATTTGTCCCGGGTTGTTTTGCAGATTTGTGAGCTGTCATAGATTACGGTAATATCGTCGACGTTCACCAAGTGAAGAAACCTATCACATGGAAGTAGCTCCACACTTTCTAGGTCGTGTACAGTGAACGCCTTTTCCATTACTTCGTCGATGGCGAAGTTAAAAAGGAAAGGTGGGGATGCCAATCCTAGTGATGATCGTACGCCGTTGGACCCGTACGTCTTCCAGGATGGGGACCCCAAGAACGAGGAGTGCCAATGGCTTAACACGCTTGAAGACATGGTTCGCAACCGGAACCAGTAGAAGAATTGTGTGCAGTACTGTAGTGATTCACATGCTTAATACGTAAACGTTAAAAATGACGAAAGGGCAAAATCAACGTGTGAAAAATAAACTAAAAATGTTTTGTTCTATTTTTTCAAACTATTCTTTTCTTTCTACGACACAGTAGCTGAGGTGTGTTGCTCACCTTCAACTACTGTGCCACGGTGATTATGACACGGCGAACCTGCCCCTTATCTGCTAATCTCCATGGTTTTTGTAGGCTCCATGTCTATTTACTAGACTGTTGAGATTACTACTACTACTACTACTACTGCCCGGCGACCATGCACGCATCTAGGATGAGTCGGCCCGTGAGTTGATAGGTTAACGCGGAATATTTCTGATGCACCGTACCGTTCATGCATCATATAGAATTTCACCGAAGCCCAGCCTGAGTTCTGCTTTTCCGTAGGGCTACGCAACAATACTCACAAGATCGTTCACGCCTGTAAACTTAGTATCACTCCTGCAAGAAGCCTCCAACCCTTACCTGATCATGTTTTCATTCAACGGTAATACCCTTTTATCTTGATATTCCGTCACTGTGTACCTTGTTATTTACCTGTTCATTTTTCATAATTCTAGCTTATTATTATTATTATGTAGATGCGTATCATGGGAGCATGCATGGCTCACTGACTGAAGTGAACTGATGGAACTGTACCTTGCAATTTTGAAAACCCTAAGATTATACACGTGCCCAGACTCCATGGATCGCTCGGAAGCCTACCCCGATTAGTTATCAAACAGCTTTTCAGTCTTTACAGGGCGGCACATCTAACCAGCTGAGTACCATGTTCATTTTAATCATGGCACGTATCCCGGCATCATGAGGTGCAGTTCGCTACGGGATCTTTGACTATAATAGCGAAATTAGTTTCTGACGAAAACATGCATAATAGCAGTTGACAAAACTACCACACGAATAGTTGGAGAGACATTTTGAAGCACACCTTCATGATTAACCGTTACTCACTGCAACTCGGCGGCTTAGAAGCAGAGCTCTCGACTGACATCCCAAAGGCCCCGGGTTCTGGGCACACTCGCCCTACCATCTCCACCTGACAAGTGCGGACTAAGGAAATCTGACGCCAGATGTTACAAGGAGCGGGCGAAAAATAGACGTCAGGTGACTGGATAGCGCCACAAGCAACGGTTCGAGGTCATACCAATCCGCCTGACAGAAACACAAGTTAAGTCACTGATTCTAAATCTACTTGCGATAAATATCTAAATCATCAATTGCGTCCACCAACTCCTTCGCATTCGCAAAATAGTTTGCTATTTCAACATACAAACAGTTAGTACAATGACATCTCATGTCATGGATCTCACGAACCCCATCACTTACACTTGCCAAGATCAATATTTGATCAAACAGCAATTTTCGCAAATCCGATAGTACAAGACCGATCATGCCTTCTTTGGTGTGCCTCGTGTAAAATCGAGAATATACATTTCATTTATTTATTTATTTAAACCGGTCGTGCAGTGCTGTGCTGTGAGCGGTGAGGGGGCGGGGGCAACTGTTAAGATTGGGAGACGCCTCTGATAAGAATTTGAGTCTGGTACGATTGTCGCTGACACGGTCAGAGCACGCCTACGATAACGGCTTGGACTGTTGGCCGATCGAACGGATTTGCGCTGACGTGATGGCTTATCCCGGGTGTACGCGCTGGTGAGGCGGAATATCGCGCTAGCGTGAGAACGTTCCTAGCCACACGTATTCGGGTAAATGCTGAGTCTTCGTGACAGATGAGGCTACGCACACGAGTGCAGGTGACGGTAGACGCGCGCTAATGTCTTAGACGCTGCCCGGCTATCGACGCACGCAAAAATCACGTGACCGAACCGACTCCAAACTAAAAGCGAAGAGGAAGCAAGACAAGTGGTCCTCTGAAAGCTTTTTTACGACCAACAAAGGGCGAATCACAGTCAATACTATGAGTCATTAAGTTAGTGAAAATCGCTACTGCAACGGAGTGGTGGTTTGTAAAAGAACATTGTCAACATGTGCGCAGTTGTGCCGCGTCGCGGAGTGACTGAAATGCCCTAAGGTAGGGGAGGAATTGAACTCTGCTTTCCGCAGCCATTACGCCGGAGTTTATGGCGTGTTTTTGCGGGGATATTTGACGGGCCCGCAATAGCAACACTCCACGGAGGTCAGCTACGTGACAAGATTGTGCAAGCACGTGGCTAGCGTGCCGCAAGCGAACGGAGCAGTTGATTGGACGCCTGCGAATATTCCGTCT